AGAACCCAGCTTTGGCAGAGGCCACTGTGACTTCAGCGCCAGCCCGTAATAGACCTTATGACAGATGGAACCTGGGCTCTGTTCTGGCAACTCAGATGTCGAAGATGTCAGCTCAATCCCTGCTGTTTCAGAGGACTGGCAACTGGACGGTGTCTCTTCTCCCTAGTGAACTTTGAAGCACAAGAAGTCATTTTCTCCCCACCCCAGGTGAACGTAAGCAGAAAAGCTGGTGATTTGTTGGAGGGAGGAAATGCATTGCTGGTGGGGCTGGAGTAGATGGCCTTTGGGTCCCTTCCAGCCCCACAGGAGATGAAGCGGTGCTGGAAGCTGAGAGGGAAGGAGCAAGGAAGAGACATCTGGGCGCGGCAGCATGATAAAGAGGAACGGATTTAGATGGGGGAGATTCAAATCCGTCTTTGGTCAAAATGCTCACCTTGTGTGTCACCTGGGTAAGTTACTCATTCTCTGCCCAACCTCCCTCCTAAGGAGAAGAGCTCAGGGTAGCTTAGATGAGGCCTTGGCCGACAGAAGGCTGTAGGGAGGGCTGGCAGGGAGAGATAGGAGTTTTTATCTGTGGGGTAGCGTCAGAGGAAAGTTCTTCTCCTTCGCTCATAGAATCAGAGAATTGTGGAGTCGGACGGGACCCCGAGGGTCATCTAGTCCAACCCCCGGCAATGCAGGGAGCTCAGCTAAAGCATCCATGACAGATGGCCACCTTGTCATGGTTCATGGGCGATCGAAGTCCCGGCTGGGGACATCGGGACCGGGGGCAAGATAGGGTGGGAGCAGGAACAGGAGTCCAGAAGTCAGGAGTTGGGAAGCCAAGAGTCAGAGGGTCAGAGAGCTAGAAGTCAAGAAGCCAAGGGTCTGAGGATCAGGAAGCACGGAGTCACGAAGGTAGGGGTCTGAGGAGCAAGGAGTCGAGGAACTAAATGCAGCAAGGCAGGGAGCGTGTTGCTGTGGCAAAGAGCCAAAGGGAAGATGCTGACCTTTTATCCCTTCCCAGCTCTTGCCACCAGGTGCTGTGAGTTACCAATCGGCCTCACCTGTGCGGCCGCGCCTTGCCTCTTCAGAACAAATTTAGGAAGGCCCCAGTTCTGGTCACAGCGCCTGACCTGACACATCCAACCTCTGCTTAAAAACCCACAAGGAAGAACTAACCTCAGAACACACAGCCGGCCAATGAAACTGAATGTTGGATGGTTCAGGAATGATAAATGGGCATATGTCTTCATGCAGCCCACAGCTGTTTATCATAAAGTCACTTTTTGTCATGACTTATTTGCTTTGGGTCAGATTTGGGTCACAGGTGGCCCATCCAGCACAGTACTGTCCACACTGACCTGCAGTAGCTCTCCAGGGTTTTTCCAACAAAGAGCCTGAAATATACTCGGAGTGGATTTCATGCTCTTTTTTCAGCTCATAGTTCCCCCAGAATGTCTGCTTTATATACATTATTTACACAATGGGCCCCACGTGATTGGCTAATTCTGGGATTCTCCTGTAGGCCAATCAGGTTGCGGATTCACTTCCACCTGGAGCTGGATTGGGTGGCTCCTGTGGACCAATCAGACTGCTGCATTTTGGATCCTATTCAACTCAATACATAACACCAATTATCTATTATTATTATTATTATTATTATTATTATTATTATTATTATTATTATCATCATCATCATCATCATCCAGATTTTTCTGCCCTCATCAAAATGCCAGCCCACACTTCCCCACCATTTAACACGGATTTTCCTTCTTTTGTGGTTAACCCGATAAATTCAGAATTGGGCAGAACCACATTCTCCATGGACATGCAGCCATCACCTTCCTACGCCCCTCAGGTGGGGCAGAAAAACCGACTGCCTAACACCCCAGTGCATCCCTAGAGGAAGCAGGTGCAACGCTGCAGGCAGTCCTGAAGGATTCAGGGCCTTGCAAAGGATCAGGGGGAATTTCTGTTTCAAAGAGGGACCCAACTCCACAGATTCTGCATCCTCTTCCAGCTGGACAGCACAGAGACTCAGCTGGGCCAGGAAGGTGGAGGAGTCTCTCTGGGCAATTTCTAGCATCTTTCTCCCCAAATGTCAGCAGCCTGCGATGTGTGTTAGTGTGGAACGGCCCTGTTCATCCTCTGAATGGCAGCTGTCAAGGAGATCCATCTTCCCCAAAAATCACATTGAAGGCTGGAGAGGAAGTCTTGGGCATTGGTCATGCTTCTGGAGGCCCGGCTGAAAACCTCGAGGGGTCAAAGGTCTGGACTTTTGCTCCCCACTGCCATTGGCTAGCATTATTACTTTGCTCTGTGCATAGTAAACATTCTTTTTTTCAGCCAGAAAGCAGCATGCAGCTTTTGAAGTGTTTATGTCCATCGTAAATCAGTGATAAAACTTTGAGCAGGGTGGGTGCGGAGGGAATTAAGATGGATACTATTTAATAAGGAGCAAGAACAATCCAGAACTCCAGAATTAGCCATGCAAATACTATGCAAAGAAGGAACAAATCTTCCAAAACTGAATGCCCATGATAGATAAAGTGGTCTTTATCAGGTAATCCAGCGCTTCAGAAATAGTGCTTGCTGTTTGCTATCACACTGCCCCCTAGTGGACTTCTGTAAATTTTAATGCTATGTTTTTAAGCAAGATTTGCTGGCTGCAGAAGTGATAGAACTTTGTCCCTTATAAAGCACAGACAAGTTCCTGCAAATATACACATACACTAGACACAGAAATGGGGAGGAATTCACATTTAAAGGAAAATCTGCCCCACCCACAGTCTTGGAAACACAAAGCAGATCATAGCCATCCTTCAAAATTCACACTTCTTAGAATTTCATATGGCAATTTTCCAGCCATTTAATGCCTACAAAAATGCACTGGCCAGGGTGAAGTGTGCACAGAAATGCATATGTTAGTGAAACTAACATGCAGAAATTTGTTGTCTTAGGGAAAGATGCTTTGCAAAAGTGTGTGTCTTAGGAGAAATTCACACAACAATGCTGATGAATTTTCACGAGGACTTGAAAACACCACGTATCAGAAACTGATGGATTCTAATCACACAAGTAGAAATTCCAGCTAAACATTAGGAAGCATTTTCTGACAGTAAAAGATGTTTCACCGTAGAACGAAGCCACTCCGAAGGCGGTGGACTCTCCTCGGTTGGAGGTTTTCAAACAGAGGCGGGATGGCTATTTGTCAGGGAATCTTCAGCTGCAATTCCTGAATTGCAGGGGGGTGGACTAGATGACCCTTTGAGGCCACATCCAAGAATCTCTAAGAGGTACCTGCTGGCTCAGGCCAATGGCCCATCAAGTCCAGCATTTTCTTTTCCCAGTGGCCAACCAGATGCCCCTCTGGGAAGCCTGCAGGCAAGACATGAGCACAACAGCACTCTGTCCACCTGCACTTTCCAACAACTGCTATTCAGAGGCAGATACACCTGTACCTAGCCAAGCTTGCTATAAGATTTCCACCACGCAGGTGATTGGGCTCTACAGGGTCAGGGAAGCCACCTGGGAACAGTCCTGTTGAAGGATTCGTGCAGAGACCAGAGCATTAATGTCACATGCAAATCCCCACTGGTGTCTCCAAGGAGGGCTGGGAGAGACCCCCACCATGCCACCTGAAGCCCCGGAGAGCAGCAGCCAGTCAGTGTAGAGGTGGTGTGGCATAGTGGTAAGAGCAGTGTTTCTCAAACTTGGGTCCAGACAACAGCTGGGGACCCAAGTTTGAGACACACTGGATTAGAATATCCATCTAGGGCCTGGGAGGCTGGGGCTCAAATTCCCTTTGGACCATGAAGCTCACAGGTGGGGGGGTCACAGTGCTCTTCAACTGCTTAGTTTAGTTCCTTTTTTCTTTTCTTTGGGCGTCTTGGGTCTCATCTTGGAGCCTATGCATGCAGGCTTCCCTTAAGCGGGTCTGTTTTTCTTCCAAGTGCAGCTGATGTCGGCAGGCAGAGATGATAAATTGCTTCTGCAGTTCATGGGGGAATGAGGATACATAGCTCAGTCGGCAGAGTCTGAGACTCTTTTTATTTTTTATAACTTTTTATTCAAAATTAAAACAAAACATATTATCCAGAAACATATCATCCTTATTTTCCCCCATTTTTCCTCCCTCCCCCTCCCTCCCCCACAGAACCCCCCCGACTTCCCTCAGTTCCAGTCTTTGATTTCTCTAAAAATGCTGTTTTCTGCATGTTATACAGTTGTATAAATCCTCAAACTATTTAGATGATTATTATCAGTAAAATGTTTGTGAATATTTATTCAAAACCAGCCAAGGAGTCCAGTTCGCTTTGTTGTGTCTTCAAATACTTTGTAAAGGGTTCCCATTCATCTTTAAAGTCACAGTTATCCTTGTCCCGTAGCTTGTATGTCAGTTTTGCCAGTTCTGCATAGTCCATCAGTTTTTCTTGCCATGATTCCTTAGTTGGGGTTTCTTCAGTCTTCCATCCTTGTGCTATTAAAACTCTAGCGGCCATTGTCGCATACATGAAGACTTTTTCAGCTTTTTTGGCAGATCTTTCCCTACAATCCCTAATAAAAATGTTTCAGGTTTTTAAACAAATGTTAAATGGAACATTTTCTTCAATTCGTTGTATATCATTTCCCAAAATTTTTTAATTACCTTACAATCCCACCACATATGATAAAATGTCCCCTCCTTTTCCTTACACTTCCAACATATATTTGAACTAGTTCTGTACATTTTCCCTAACTGCACTGGTGTTTTGTGTACCATCTGTACATCATCTTCATGTAATTCTCCTTCAATAGGGAACAATCTGTAAATTTTAAGTCAGTTTTCCATAATTTAACCCAATCTTCCATCATAAAGGTGTGACCTACATCTTGTGCCCATTTAGTCATAACTGATTTTACCTCCTCATCTTTCGTCTCCCATTCTAATAGGAGGCTATATGCAGCCTTCAGTAGTTTCACTTTCCCTTCAGTCACTTCCGTTTGAAACCTAGATCTAGTATAACTAAATCCTTTCCTGCGGCAGGGGACCAGACTCTTAATCTCAGGGCTGTGGGGTTTTGCCCCACATCCAGCAAAAGTTTTCTACACTGGATGAGCCTCGTGGTTCCTTCCAACTCTACAATTTTATGCAGGCAGGCAGGCAGGAAGGAAGGAAGGAAGGAGAGAACAGATTGCAGATCTGGCTGCTGCTTCATTGCCTTGTTACCCTTTAACCAGGCATCAGTCAGGGCTGTCAGGTGGAGACAGGCTGCGAAGGGGAGGACAGTGACTCGCTTCAGAGTGTGCCACCAGGAGTTATGACATCTGCCTTCCCAACAGGGACTGAATCTCTTGCCTGTCGGCGACCAAGATGCTGAAGAAAGTCATCGGCTGGCTGACGGTCCGAAATGAAACCATCCGGCAGGGACTGGCAGAGGCTCTGTCCACCTTCATCCTGATGGTGAGCAGGTCAGGGGTGTAGGGTGCCGGGGTCATTCGAGGAGGGGGAGAGGGTGGCAAAGGCTGGGGCATGCACCCCCCCTTCTTGTTCCTGAAAAGGTGATGTGTGTGGATGAGGGAAGAGACAGGAAGGGGACCCAGTCTGCATCAGAAGCAGAATTCACCAAGTTTGAAAAACATTAGCGGAACCAAAACAGGCACCCCTCAAAATGTGCACATATCTAAATTTTGAGATACTATTCTCCAGTCTGTCAGTGTGTGTGCAAAAATGCATCTGTTAGGTCTGATCCTGCCTCGGGGCTCTTCTGAACACTGCAGTGTTGTGTGTGCCAACTATATCCTTAAAGCACATTCAAAGAACATTCCCCTCCGCTCAAAGAATTCTGGATACAGTGGTACCTTGGGTTAAAAACTTAATTTGTTCTGGAGGTCCGCCCTTAACCTGAAACTGTTCTTAACCTGAAGCACCACTTTAGTTAATAGGGCCTCCTGCTGCCGCTGCCATGCGATTTCTGTTCTCATCCTGAAGCAAAGTTCTTAACCCAAGGTACTATTTCTGGGTTAGCCGGAGTCTGTAACCTGAAGCATCTGTAACCCGAGGTACCGCTGTACTGTAGTTTGTTAAAGGTTGCTGAGAACTGTCACTTTGTGAGGGGCAAACTACAGGCCCCAGAATTCTTTGAGGGAAAGGATAGGCTTCAAAGGTGCTTTAAAGGCATACAGAGTCGGCAACGGTCATCTCCACCCCTTGTTCTGGACGCGAAGGATCAATGTCTCCCACACACAGGCTGTGACCCGCTGACCTGAGCACTGCTCATTAACCATGTTTAGTGATCCACCTGAAGATCAGCAAACCTTTCATATGCTAAAGAGTATATTTGGAATAGCAAACAACAACCCGACTCAAAGATGATATTATGGGAGAAAACGGGGGAGGACATTTTGTACTGAACTTCAATTTGCATTAGGTATCTGGTTGTATTAACTGGATTGGAACCCATTGTTTCATGATTTGGAGAAAGCATCTGATAAAAGCACCATTACGCCCAACTTAATGAGGAAGATTTCTTCAAGAACAGCTCATGCAATGCCATTTTAATTTTTTTAAGCATCTAACTGGCTAAAAATATCGTATTATTATTCCAAGGGCTGTTTAATCCATTACCATCACTATTAAAATCAGTATTAGACACTTGGGGATTAGGCAGGGATAGCGGCATTAGAATCTGGAAGGAAAATAATATGCTTTTGACCTGGGAGGCCAGGATTCACATCCCCACTCAGCCACGAAGCTCATTGGGTGACGTCAGGCCAGTCTCTCAGCCTTACGGGAGTGTTGTGGGGATGAGGAGGAGAACCATGTTCACGGCCTTGAGCTCCTTGGAAGAAAGGGTGGTCTGTAAATGTCATACATTGATGTCAGCCTGGACAGCTCAGTGGGTTAGAGCTCTTCTTTGGCAATCCCTCATAGTAATAATAATAATAATTTATTATTTATACCCCGCCCATCTGGCTGAGTTTCCCCAGCCACTCTGGGCGGCTCCCAATCAGTGTTAAAAACAGTACAGCGTTACATATTAAAAACTTCCCTGAACCCCCAGTCAAACTTGCAAAAATCTATCATTTGCCCAGTAACAAATGTTGGAAATGTAATGAGATTGAAGGTACCTTCTATCACCTTTGGTGGACCTGCCCGAAGGTAAAGGCCTACTGGGAAATGATCTATAATGAAATTAAAAAAGTCCTTAAATGGACATTTTTGAAAAAGCCAGAGGCCTTTCTTTTGGGTATGGTAGGCCGATTGGTGCCAAGGAAGGACAGAAATTTCTTTATGTATGCTACCACAGCGGCGAGAATTCTTCTAGCAAAGTATTGGAAGACGCAACAGCTACCTACTCTGGAAGAATGGCAAGCGAAGGTGACTGAGTACATGGGCATGGCAGAGATGACCGGCAGAATCCGCGACCAGGGGAGAGAGACGGTGGAAGAGGACTGGAAGAAATTTAAAAAATATCTCAAAGACTGTTGTAAAATTGATGATGGCTGAGATGTTATGGTTATAAGAAATAGAGAATTGCAGCTGTAAATCTTAACTTTAAAAAATCCATAATGAAAATGAGTGAACAAATTGAAACGAAGGGTTGCTGAGAAAGGGTTAATATAAGGATGCAGAAAAAGGGAGGTATGGGGAAGTCCGGGAAAGAAGGTTTATGAAAATAATTTTAAGAAATTATACATGTTTATTTGTTTGTATGTTTTGTATGTTTTGTTTTGTTTTATTTTTTGTTTTTTATATGTTTGGAAAATTAATAAAAATTATTAAAAAAAAAAAAAAAACTTCCCTGAACAGGGCTGCCTTAAGATGTCTTCTGAATATCAGGTAATTATTTATCTCTTTGACATCTAATGGGAGGGCGTTCCACAGGGCGGGCGCCACTACCGAGAAGGCCCTCTGTCTGGTTCCCTGTAGCCTCACTTCTCGCAATGAGGGAACCGCCAGAAGGCCCTCGGCGCTGGATCTCAGTGTCCGGGCTGAATGATGGGGGTGGAGACGCTCCTTCATAGCCAAGTAAGATTGTTTTCCATGTTAATGGAGTGAATCATAGAATCATAGAATCATAGAGTTGGAAGAGACCACAAGGGCCATCGAGTCCAACCCCCTGCCAAGCAGGAAACACCATCAGAGCATTCCTGACATATGGTTGTCAAGCCTCTGCTTAAAGACCTCCAAAGACGGAGACTCCACCACACTCCTTGGCAGCAAATTCCACTGTCGAACAGCTCTTACTGTCAGGAAGTTCTTCCTAATGTTTAGGTGGAATCTTCTTTCTTTCTTGTAAAGTGTGCACAGTGTGCAGAACTGGACAAAAATGACAGGAAGGATTCGAAACCTGCGGGACCAGAGATTTACAGAAGATTGGAAGAAGTAAATGAATTATTTGAAGAGCAACTGCAATCAACAAATTACACTAGTAGGTCTAAAAGAAGTTTCGTAAGGAGAAATATACAAAGTGTTACAAAGTAGAAAAAGATAGAGAAATTGGTCATGAGTTTGAAATGTAAGAGGGAAAATAAGAAATGCATACTAAGTGATTAGACTGGAGAACTTTCAGACAGGACTGATGGAAGTCAAAAAAATTGAATAAGATGTAAAAGTATGTTTAATTATTGTTAAAAATGATATGTTAAAAAACTAATAAAAATTATATATATGTGTGTGTGTGTCTTCCATGAACACGGTTTTAACAGTGAGTCCGTAAGTGACTGTGGAGGCCAATTCTGGATCCACACGTCCTTCCACAGTGGGGACATTGGTTTCTGGGCAGGAGTTGATCACAGTGAGAGTTTACGTAGCATGTCTTCCTCTTAGCACGTTTCTCCCTTTCATCCTGAGTTTGAGCGTCTTCAAAGCCCCATGACACCTTTGGTAAAGGCTGTTCTCCAACTGGAGCGCAGGCCAGTGTTTCCCAGTTATCAGTGCCTATACTACATTTTTAAAGATTTGCTTTGAGAGTGTCTTTAAACCTCTTTTGTTGACGACCATTATTTCACTTTCCATTCTTAAATTGTGAATAGAGTAGTTGCTTTGGAAGACGATAATCAGGCATCAGTACAACTTGACCAGTCCAATGAAGTTGAAGCTGAAAAATCATCGCTTCAACACCGGTGATCTTTGCACCGGTGATGTTGTCCTGCTACCATGACGATGGATACCTTGACACATACGGGTCTCTCTTCTTCCCCCTTCCCCCACAGGTTATTGGACAGGGCTCTGTTGCCCAGGTGGTAATAGGAAAGAATAGCTTTGGGGACTTTCTGAGCATCAATCTGGGATTTGGATTCGGTGTCATGTTGGGAATTCACGTAGCTGGTGGAATCTCAGGTGAGTCTGGTAGATAATGTGCCTGGAAGATCTCCCTTTTAATATCAACTGTGCAGTTTCAATCCGTTTAGATCTGGACATAAATTGCTTTAATCCACCCCTTGGTAGTTTCTAAAAGGTTGATTTCTATATTATCTTAGTGCTTCTCCTTCTTTCCTTTTGCTGTTCCAGAGAGGTTCTGTGTTTCATAACATTTTCTGCCGGGATGGTTTTAGTGCAGGCTTCCCCAACCTGGTGCCCTTCAGAGGTTTTAGACTACAAAACCTAGCCCAGGAGAAAGCAGATAGAGAAAAGTTTTTTGGGTTTTTTGTTTTTTATTCAAAATTATAACAAGACATATTATCCAAAAACATATTATCCTTGTCCCCCCCCCATTTTTCCTCCCTCCCCCCTCCCACACAAAACCCACACACACCCCGACTTTCCTCAGTTCCAGTTTTTGGTTTCTCTGAGACTGCTGTTTTCTGCATGTTACAAAGTTGTATAGATCCTCAAACTATTTAGATGATTATTATCAATAAAAAGTTTGTGAATGTTTATTCAAAACCTGCCATGGAGTCCAGTTCGCTTTGTTGCGTCTTCAGATACTTTGTAAAGGGTTCCCATTCATCCTTAAAGTCACAGTTATCCTTGTCCCATAGCTTATATGTCAGTTTTACCAGTTCTGCATAGTCCATCAATTTTTCTTGCCATGATTCTTTAGTTGGGGTTTCTTCAGTCTTCCATCCTTGTGCTACCAGAACTCTCGCGGCTGTTGTAGCATACATGAAGATGTTTTTCAACTTTTTTGGCAGGTCTTTCCCTACAATCCCCAACAAAAATGCCTCGGGTTTTTAAACAAATGTGAAATGGAACATTTTCTTCAATTCGTTGTATATCATTTCCCAATTTTTTTTAATTACCTTACAATCCCACCACATATGATAAAATGTCCCCTCCTTTTCTTTACACTTCTAATATATATTTGAACTAGTTCTGTATATTTTCCCTAACTGCACTGGTGTTGTGTACCATCTGTACATCATCTTCATGTAATTCTCCTTCAATAGGGAACAATCTGTAAATTTTAAGTCAGTTTTCCATAATTTAACCCAATCTTCCATCATAACGTTGTGACCTACATCTTGTGCCCATTTAATCATAACTGATTTTACCTCTTCGAGAAAAGTTTTTACCCCTCTTTCATGGCACTAGAACTCATGGACATTGAAGGAAGCTTGTTTGGGACAGATAAAGGAAAGTGTGGAACTCTCTCCTGCAGGAGGCAGTGACGGCCACCAACATAGATGGCTCCAAGAGAGCATTAGACAAGTTCATGGAGGACAAGAGGGCAATCGATGGCTATGTTGCAGGAATGTATGTATAGGTTGGGGGGGGGTTGCCCCTCCAGCAGATATCATGCACGTGCAGCCCACTACCAAAACCAGCACAATCACTTTTGTGACTTTTGTGATTTGTCCCCACAAAACACTTCATCACAGTTTCTTCCCATCTATTCAAAGGGCCTCTGCTGCACAATACCAAAGGTAAAAATCCCTGATAAATGTGTCTCTGAACTGGCTCACAGGGAAAACTTCAGAAATTCATATAGACATGTGAGCTCAGCTACTCAGCAGCCCCTCTGCCTGAGGGATAATTCCTGGCATCCTGATACCTGAATGCCAGACAGGTAGCCATTCCAGAAATAACAAACCCAGATGAAGACAAAAGGGCGTGATTAACTTGGCTGGGAAACAGGGAAATGTAAATATCTCTTTTGTTACACTTGATGGGTGTTTGGTGGAGGGCAAGGAGAACCATGGGGCAGGGTCCAGGATGCTCAGATTACTGCCACCAGACCTCCCCTTTTATGATGTAACCATGATGTATGAGTGATGTAGTTTGGGGGTGTAACACGGGGATTAGTAGCTAATAAAAGATTGTGGGCTCTTTTGTTTGGGGCTTCCATCTTGTTCCACCTGGTGGCAGGTGGGAGTCCTGTTGCGACAGTCTTCAATAAAGACCAAGCCTACTGGCTGCTGTTTTGCTCTGGTATTCCTGGCTGGTGTCCTTGTTTTTTGTCCAAGGGAGCCCTCAGATTTCTCCGTTAACAGCTACTAGTCATGATGGTTATGTGCTGCCTCTACAGCTGGAGGAAGCAATGCTTCTGAACTGCAGTTTCTGGAAACCGCAAGGTCACTGTGATTGGTCACTGTGAAAGAGGGTGCTGGACTAGACGGGCAAGTGATCCAGCAGGGTGGTTCTTACATTCTTAGTCGTTTATACAGCTGTAGACCCAAAGCACTGGAGGGCATGAGCACTGGTACCAACTCTAGGGGGCCTTCAGTGTCAGGGCACTCACAGTTTTTGTGTGTGGGTGCTCAGCACCCACACTGTGAGGCTCCGACGCAACCTCAAAGGCCCTACGAAGTCTTGGAAGTGACTTCCAGTAGAAACCGGATGTAGACGATGTCATGATGTCACGTTATGTCGTGGTTGTCATTGGGCACCCATAATCTGGGCACAAGCTTGAGGAAAGCTGTTTTCATCTTTGTGTTACATCCCTGTTTTATAGTGATTTCTATAAAGGATCTGGAGAACTTTCACACACCGGAGATCTAGAAACGTACAGATTCAGCCTTGACGCAACCTTGAGGTTATCTCTACACTCAGAGAACCACGGTTCTCAGGATTAAGAAGCAGATCCCAACACCCATTCCATGATACGTAGAACAACTTCCATCTTCCATAATCTGGGGACCACCTTGCTGAGACTTGCCTCCAGCAGCTGAGGGGGTGGAATAGAAGTGCGGAACTGGCTTGTTTTGCTTTTTTATTGTTTTATTTTTTATTGAAAATGTTCAGCATAAAAGGTAAAGGTAAAGGTACCCCTGCCCGTACGGGCCAGTCTTGCCAGACTCTAGGGTTGTGCGCTCATCTCACTCTATAGGCCGGGAGCCAGTGCTGTCCGCAGACACTTCCGGGTCACGTGGCCAGCGTGACATCGCTGCTCTGGCGAGCCAGAGCCGCACACGGAAACACCATTTACCTTCCCGCTAGTAAGCGGTCCCTATTTATCTACTTGCACCCGGGGGTGCTTTCGAACTGCTAGGTTGGCAGGCGCTGGGACCGAACAACAGGAGCTCACCCCGCCGCAGGGATTCGAACCGCCGACCTTTCGATCTGCAAGTCCTAGGTGCTGAGGCTTTAACCCACAGCGCCACCTGCGTCCCTAAAAAACAAATTAATCTAAATGAAAAGGGAAACAGCCAAAAAGGAGAAAGTGCTCCTTTTGCTTTCCCATCACTTAGCATTTCCCTATGTTGTGTTTTTAGCAAACGCTCTCAGAATTGGTCTTCGTTGTGGTTTTCTTTTTGCAAAGATAGCCCTTCTAAGAATTGGCAAGGTGGAGGGGTGGCTTGCAAATGCTGTAATTGCTACTATTACTACTATTATCATCATTTACTCTCGCATTCCTGCCATTTCTTTTGCCCCTGGAAGGTGCTCACATGAACGCAGCAATTACATTTGCAAACTGTGTCGTGGGGAATCTGCCATGGTACAAGCTTCCGGTGTATGTGATTGGCCAGTTCGTGGGATCCTTCTTGGCTTCTGCTACGACATTTTCACTGTATTATGGTATGCTACTTCCCTTGACCCCCCCCCCAACCCCTCACAAAGCCACTAGAATAGCTGGGGAGAAAGAAGAACTACCTGGTTTTTTGGTTGTTTCAGTGACACACGAACACCCTTCTCTCTCATAAACACACACACACATTGTGGGTCCGTGCAAGGGCAGAGTGGTTTGATCAAAAAGTCCACTTGTAGCCTCTCCAACTTGTGCTTTTGCTGTTGAACTGTGTGATCTGGTTGCTTCCCTTTCAGAGGCCCTGATGGATTATACCGGGGGGACCCTGAGCGTTGGGGGACCCACTGGCACGGCAAACATCTTTGCCACCTATCCGTCTCCATACATGTCGACTTTGGGCGGATTTATAAATGAGGTTGGTGCACCAGGATTGCCTTTGTTTATTTAGTTCATTAAAGTTATATACTTCTTGTTATATACTTAAAAAAGCAAAGTGGTTTGCTAAAAGAATTAAACAGTAGGATTAATAGGGAAAGCAGTTAAAACTCATAGGGAGTCATTCTATGGCTTCTAGATAATAGACACGGAGAGCTTTGACCACACTGAAATGCTAAGATAATAATTGTCCTCATACGGGTACGTCTGTACCCAATCAGTCTTCAGAATGCAGGGGGTTAAGACAGGGTCGGCCCAGCCAGGAGGCAAGGTGAGGTGACTGCCTCAGGCGGCAGGATCCACTGGGGCAGCGGATCCTGATGTCAATCTTCCTTCCTGCCTTCTTCCTTCACCACTTCTTCCCTGGCAGGGAAGGGGGACGCCATTTTGGTGTCTGCCTCAGGTGGGTTAAGAGTTAAGCAAGCAAGGGAAAGGGATTGTAATGACTGTTCCCCATTGGTCCCCACACCGGACTTTCCGCCACCTTGTTTGGGAGTGGCCTCTTCTGCCTCTGGGCTGCCATCTTTTATTTCATCCTTCCTTCCTGGCCTCATCCCCGCAGTTCATCACTACAGCTGTGCTATTGATTGGAATCCTCGCCATCAACGACCTGAAGAATGCGGGTGCTCTTCCAGGCACCCATGCCTTGAGTGTTGGGCTGCTGGTTGCGGTCATCGGCATGTCCTTGGGGATGAACACAGGCTACGCCATTAACCCTTCCAGAGACTTGCCACCAAGGATCTTCACAGCCGTTGCTGGATGGGGGCTGGAGGTCTTCAAGTGAGTTCCTTTTCTCTACCACAGAATCATAGGAGTGGGAAGCGACCCTGAGCGTCATCTAATCCACCCCCCTGCAATGTAGGAATCTCAACTAAAGCATCCAGGACAGGTGGCCAGCCAACCTCTGCTTGAAAACCTCCAAGGAAGGAGAGTTCACCACCTTACGAGGGAGTTTGTTCTACTACTGAACAGCTCTTACTGTCAGAAAGTTCTTCCTAAGTTTTCATGGGAATCTCCTTCCTTGTAACTTAAAGTCACCTTTAGATATTTGAAGATGGCTATCATATCTCCTCCCAGTCTCCTTTCCCAGGTTAAACGTACCCAGTTCCTTCAACTATTCCTCACCAGGCTTGGTTTCCAGACCCTTGATGATCTTCTACACACATTCCAGCTTGTCAATATCCTCCTTAAATTGTGGTGTCCAGAACTGGACAAAGTACTCCAGGTGTGGTCTGACCAAGGCAGAATAGAGTGGTCCTCTTCCTGTGATCGGGACACTATACTTCTGTTGATGCAGCCTAGAATAGCATTAGCCTTCTTTGCTGCTGCATCACCATTGACTCGTGTTAAGCTTGTGATCTACTAAGACCCCTAGATCTTGTTCACATGTGCTACTCGCAAGGCAGGTGTCTCCTAGGTGAATATTGCAGATCCCCCCAGTTTCTGCCCCCCTTATTTGCATGGATTGATTAAATTTGATTACTGAACATTTTTTTCTTATTATTCCTGGTTTGCTCTGCCCATCAGGTGCAGGGTGGGCAACCACCACTTACAGTGGTACCTCGGGTTAAGTACTTCATTCGTTCCGGAGGTCCGTACTTAACCTGAAACTGTTCTTAACCTGAAGACCACTTTAGCTAATGGGGCCTCCTCCTCCCGCCATGCTGCCGTAGCACAATTTCTGTTCTCATCCTGAAGCAAAGTTCTTAACCTGAAGCACTATTTCTGGGTTAGGGGAGTCTGTAACCTGAAGTGTATGTAACCTGAAGCGTATGTAACCTTAGGTACCACTGTATTTAAATATAGATTAATTGAAACAAATTGGTTGATAGCTCTTGTGGATACGAAGGTAGGTCTGAACCTCCTCGCCCAACGTTAGGTGAAATTTGAGATGTTAGGTCGTGGTTTGAGCTATCACATTTGTTAAGGACTGGAGTAAGAGTACAAAAGTTGCTTTTGATGTGCACCCTACCTCCTCTCTAAGGAATTCAAGGTGGTGTACCTAGGATTGGGTGACACCTGGCTTGAGAGCAGTACATGTGAAAAGGATCTAGGAGTCTTGGTTGACCACAAACTTGACATGAGCCAACAGTGTGACGCGGCAGCTAAAAAAGCCAATGCAATTCTGGGCTGCATCAATAGGAGTATAGCATCTAGATCAAGGGAAGTAATAGTGCCACTGTATTCTGCTCTGGTCAGACCTCACCTGGAGTACTGTGTCCAGTTCTGGGCACCACAGTTCAAGAAGGACACTGACAAACTGGAATGTGTCCAGAGGAGGGCAACCAAAATGGTCAAAGGCCTGGAAACGATGCCTTATGAGGAACGGCTAAGGGAGCTGGGCATGTTTAGCCTGGAGAAGAGGAGGTTAAGGGGTGATATGATAGCCATGTTCAAATATATAAAAGGATGTCATATAGAGGAGGGAGAAAGGTTGTTTTCTGCTGCTCCAGAGAAGCGGACACGGAGCAATGGATCCAAACTACAAGAAAGAAGATTCCACCTAAACATTAGGAAGAACTTCCTGACAGTAAGAGCTGTTCGACAGTGGAATTTGCTGGCAAGGAGTGTGGTGGAGTCTCCTTCTTTGGAGGTCTTTAAGCAGAGGCTTGACAACCATATGTCAGGAGTGCTCTGATGGTGTTTCCTGCTTGGCAGGGGGTTGGACTCGATGGCCCTTGTGGTCTATTCCAACTCTATGATTCTATGATTTCCCCCTTTTAAAAGTACATAATGAGAGTATAAAAAGCTATGGGTGGAAGCAGGTCTCCTGAACTTGATGCAATGCTTGGAAGCAGGATGGGCCAATAAACTGAATCTGAATCCTGTTTTGTGTAATTGGGGATGCAGAGTGGGAGGCTGCCAGTTCTGGATGAGGTTGCACTCCCCCCCGAAGGAGCAACATGGGTGTACACCTGGATTCAACACTGTCAGCAGAGGCTCAGGTGGTCTTGATGGCAAGGAGCACTCTCCCGTCCCCCTAGCTCAGCTGGAACCCCTTTGGGACAGCTATGCCTTGGCCATTGCTCTCCATGCTCTGGTAACTTCCAGACTGGATTGCTGCAACGCTTTAGTTGGGGCTGCCCTTGAAGACCGCTCAGCCACGTATGATGGGAGTTGCACTCCAACAACCTCTAGAGGGGCAACCCTTGCGTTAAAGGAAGGCTGATTTGTGATGGACGTAATTGAGGGGCGGTACAGGCAAGTGATGGTCCAGTTCAAGGATGGGGAAGAAACGGGCAGAAACCATTTTGTGTGGGTCCGATAGATGCATGATTACACGCACCCACACACTGCTCCCGACTTGGAAGAGGCCCCAATATGGGGCAGAACGGGCTTATGAGTGCTCCACTGACACCCATGGGGGTCAGGAAGGGAACCTCTGCTCAAAATGGTTGTCACCTGTAGCCACCATCCAGCAACAAGAGGGACACAGCTTGCCCATCCCTGGACCAGATTCTTTTGAATACTGACACCAGGTCTACAAAGAACCAGTGGTGCTGTCAAAGAAGCAGCTGAGCTCAATTTCTGATTTCAATTTCTGCTCTAACACCTGTAGTGGTGTTGTTGTTGTTGAGTCATTTAGTCATGTCCGACTCTTCGTAGCCCCCTGGACCAGAGCATGCCAGGCACTCCTGTCTTCCACTGCCTCCCGCAGTTTGGTCAAACTCATGCTGGTAGCTTTGAGAACACTGTCCAACCATCTCGTCCTCTGTCGTCCCCTTCTCCTTGAGCCCTCCATCTTTCCCAACATCAGGGTCTTTTCCAGGGAGTCTTCTCTTCTCATGAGGTGGCCAAAGTCTTGGAGCCTCAGCTTCAGGATCTGTCCTTCCAGTGAGCACTCAGGGCTGATTTCCTTCAGAACGGATAGGTTTGATCTTCTTGCAGGCCATGGGACTCTCAAGAGTCTCCTCCAGCATAGCTTCTTCTAGAACCGAATAATACCAGCTTTTCTCTCTCCCCCCCTTCCAGCGCATCAAATAATTGGTGGTGGGTCCCAGTGGTCGCACCGATGTTGGGAAGCCTCCTTGGAATTTTCATCTACAACATCTTCATTGACTTTCACAATCGCCCTCGGCTGGATGGGAGCAGGAAGCCAGACTGCGAGGGCGACGAGAGCGGCGAGCAGCGACTGTGAAATCTGGACTCCCGTCAACCGGAAGCTGAATTTGGGACTTGGGACAGATCCATAGCAGAAAGCTGTCTGCTGTCGCCACAGTGCCCAAGAGCGTGCAAGCAGATATCAATCTATGTTCTTAGCTAATAAACAGAGGACACTTTTTTTAGGGGATAAATAAGGGAAGGCTGGAAGGTGTAAGTTCCTGCCCGCCCTGTGCTCTTCTCACTCAGCTGCTGCCAGTGAGCTCATGTAAGAGCCTTGCAAAAATCCCTTTAGGCAGGGATGCTCAAGGGGTGTGCTGTGAGACGCTGCCTTTGAAAAATACACCATCGCTTTAGTACTTTCAGTTGTTATAGACTGGTTGACCCAGCTTTTTCCTTGTAGACAGAAGTAGCCCCAACCACCCTCCGCCGGTGCACTCAATTAGACAGGTGCAATTTGTGAACTATGTGCAACAATTGTGGAAAGATGCAGGAGAATTTCTAGGCTTGGCTATGACGTACAATCAGGTGTAAGACTCCTGGCTGCATCTGCCTGCTCTCTGCCTTAAGGAGAAGCACTGCTGTAAGACACAGAAACACCCTCTTCCTGTCACTACCATTTAACTCTTCAAACAAATTCAAATTCTTCAAAACCCAGGAGGTTACAAGCTGCCCTTCCTTAGAGGTTGGATGGCCCTGTGTCATGGATGCTTTAGTTGAGATTCCTGCATTGTAGGGGGTTGGACTAGATGACCTGTGGCTCCCTTCCAACTCTGCAATTCTGATTGTAGGAAACCTCATCCCAAGGCAGTTTGGGATGGTGTTCTGGATGCCGCCTGCATGGCCAAAGGTCAGGGGATGACGGGAGCTGTAGCCCACAATCCTGACTGGTGCCACTGCCACTAGATCCCCAGCAGAGATCCTTCCCAGACCCTTTCCCCTTTAACTAGAGATGTTCGCAAACGAACTAGGGCCACCTGCATACAATGGCTGCCCCCTTCCCTTGATGGTTCCAGCGGCAAACATCAAACCGCCAAACTCTCTTTCCGCAATTGCTCAAATTGCAGATTGCGTTTCTTTCATCTGACGCCGTGTCAAGGACGATTGGGACACAATTCACGTGTGATTTGGTTTAAGACTTGGAAAGTGATCGGCTCTCAGCCTGGTGCACTTCTAGCTGTTTTGGACTACAACTCCCATCAGTGCCATAGAAAGGTTGCTCAAAGGATGCTTCCCAGGGGAGGGGTGCTTCCTCCCACCCTTTGTGCACTTTAGCTCCTCAGTCTAGACAGGAAAGGGGATTCCCAGGAGGAATCCCCCTTAGCCAGCCATTGCATTACGATCCCTAGACAGGCTTGGTATACCTGAAAGAGCATCTCCACCCCCATCACTCAGTCCGGACACTGGGGTCCTCCTCTTGAAGGTCTCTGGTGGTTCCCTCACTGCAAGAAGTGAGGCTACAGGGAAGCAGGCAGAGGGCCTTCTCGGTGGTGGGGCCAACCCTGTGGAACACCCTCCCAGCAGATGTCAAGGAGATAAAGAACTACACAACTTTTAGAAGACATGTGAAGGCAGCCCTGTATCATGAAGCTTTAATGTTTGATGCTTCATTATATTTTTATATGCGCTGTAAGCCTTCCAGAGTGGCTGGGAAAACCCAGCCGGACGGGCAGGGTATAAATAATAATTATTATTAGCAATATTATTAGCAACGTTCACTCCAAGGAAGGACTATGTCGAACCTGAGCCCACTGGTCGCGTTTGGCACAAAGGAAATTCAGCCAGAGCCTAAAGCCTTTTAAATAAATACTTTTAGATAAATACATCTTGGTCCCATTCGATGCTCCACCAGCCACAAACTAGGAGGCCTTTTCTCGGGGGAGGGGCAGTGGACCGAAGCCACGGTGGGGCGGTGCAGGGTCAAAGGGCAAGGGTCAGTCAGGGCTGGGGTTCCCGTCTCCTTGAGGAGCTTCCGGCCTGCTGCGGATTCTTGGGGGCTGTCCCCGCTTGGCCCTTCTGGGAGGAGGGCGTCTGGGACGGCAACTTCTTCTTCAACACCGGAGTTTTGCTTTTGCTGCGGAAGACCTTGTTTGGGTCCAGCTTGTTCACGAAGGAATCGGCCTCCTCAGAGAGCTGCTCCGTGTTGATGGTGATGGGCTTGTACATGTTGAACCATTGCTGGAAGAGGAGAAGGGAAAGTGAGGAGCAGCAAACAGCAATCACTGCAGGGCAGGCGTGTGGTTCTGGTTGCCTCGTCTCGAGAAGGATGCTGGAAAAAGTTAAAGGGCAACCAAGAGAGAGCCAGTGTGGTGTAGTGGTTAAGAGCGGTAGACTCGTAATCTGGTGAACCGGGTTCACGTCTCTGCTCCTCCACATGCAGCTGCTGGGTGATCTTGGGCTAGTCACACTTCTCTGAAGTCTCTCTGCCCCACTCATCTCACAGAGTGTTTGTTGTGGGGGAGGAAGGGAAAGGAGAATGTTAGCCGCTTTGAGACTCCTTTGGGTAGTGATAAAGCGGGATATCAAATCCAAACTCCAAAATTACCAAGGGGGTGGAGCGAATCCCCTATGAAGGAAGGTGGCCAAGGCTAGGACTTTTTGGTCAGGAGAAAAGGCAAGTAAGTGGCAGCACAATAGAAGTTTACGAAGTTTGGCATGGCACAGAGGAAGTGAAGGGAGTCTCTCGTTGGGAGATTCAGGGCAGGTAAAAGAAAGGTAAACCAAAGAACTCAGGATCCCAAAGAGGCGTGGCTCTTGGGTTCAAGGGCCATACTGACGCAGAGGAAGACTCTAACCTCTGAGCCCTGCCTGTCAAGGCAAATTGCCCATCTGATAACGCTGCTATCAACATTGGCAATAAAAATAATGCTGCACACAGCAGAGAAGGATATATTGAGAGAAATATTGAACTGTGACCTTAGGAGTAAAAACTTTGTTTTGAGAATGCCTGAAAAAGCTAAGCAACCTGGGTGGTGGGTGGGAAGCAGATAGAAGAGGCTCAAGAGACCTCTGGAAAAAACAGACCCTAAACCAGATTTGGCAGACTTTGTAATGGAGCAATTTGCTCAACAGAGGAAGGATTTTGGATTACAGATGCAGGAGCTATTTCAGAAAATGAGTACTAAGATAGAGGATAGCACAGCTCAGCTGTCACAGCAGATAGAAAGAATGGGTGTAAAGGTTAAAGAACTTGAGGAGAAATCGGCTGAATTTAAGAAAACCTCTGAACAAATGGAGCAAGTGAAACAACAAGAAGTGTCTAAAGAGGCTGTGGGTGGGGTTGTGGGTAGACTGGATCTATTAGAAGATGCGGTTCCTATGACACAAATGAGACAAAATGAGAATATGGTGAGAATATGCAATTTACCAGAGCAAGAGGAAAACCAGAGACCAGAGAAATATTTAGCAAAAATCTTGGCCAAATGGTTAGGAGAAAGAGAGGAGTGGGTGGAGGAGGCTATACAGACCTGTTACCGGGTCAGAAATAGAAGAAAAAGAGGAACACAGCAGCCTGGAGACTGTTTGGTTACTTTCATAACTAGAAGAATAAAGGAAACAGTTCTCCAGAAGGGATTTGAAACCGGTCTAAGGGTTGGTGATAATAGGGTTGAGATATTTAAAGAAATTCCTTTTAAATTGAGAATCGGAAGACAGAAATATAAGTTCCTGACAACCGCCCTAAAAAAAGCAGACGTACAATACAAATGGGAGTTTCCAGAGGGACTCTCATTTATATACAAAAGCAAAAGGTAGAGACTTACAACAGAAATGCAGGAACACATTTTTTTTGAAAAACAAGGCAGGGACTTAGAAAGACAAGAAACAGATAGGTATGGAAAGACCCCTCTGGAAAAGCAAAGGCAGGCAATGGAACGGCTTGCACAAGAAGCAGAAAAAGGTGCGGCAGGAGGTAGACCTATCTTGAGAGAAGTTGATATTGGCAAACCTTAAAATACTGAATTGGAATGTGAATGGATTGAACAATAAAACAAAGAGAAACAGGGAGGAACATATAATCTCAAACAAAATATAGATATAATTTGCCTGCAAGAGACACATAAAGCAAAAAAAAAAAAAAAGAAAAGAAAGGTAAACCAGGTAAAAGAAAGGTAAGCCAGGGAACTCAGGATCCCAAAGAGGTGTGGCTCTCTGGAACGCAAAGGCCGTCCTGACGCAGAGGACTTTAGGCTCCTAGCCCTGTCTGTCAAATTGCCCATCTGATAACTATCAAAATTGGCGATAAAAATAATGCTGCACATGGCAGAGAAGGAAGGTGAGCGATGGAAGGGTGGGAGTGTCTCCAGGCCTGTCTCCTGGCTTGTTATCTGCTGGCCGTGGGACCGGAAGCCTCAGACAGAAGAAGAAGAAGAGTTTGGATTTGATATCCCGCCTTTCACTCCCCTTCAGGAGTCTCAAAGCGGCTAACAATCTCCTTTCCCTTCCTCCCCCACAACAAACACTCTGTGAGGTGAGTGGGGCTGAGAGACTTCAAAGAAATGTGACTCGCCCAAGGTCACCCAGCAGCTGCATGTGGAGGAGCGGAGACGCGAACCCGGTTACCCAGATTACGTGACTACCGCTCTTAACCACTACACCACACTGGCTCAGGAATCCCGCTAGATGGGTTCAGGGACAGAAGGGGGGTCTGCTTGGGATGGAGCAGATCCCTAATTTAATCCCTGGATAATCTACTAAAATATTATTATTAACCTTTGCAAGACTTTCTTGGCACAGAGCTGCAGGAGAGAGATCACACCACAGCATGGTAATATCCTAAGCTTATGTTGCATGGTGTATTTGAGGGAAGAGTCGTGCTTCGGTGTCAGAGTGTGAGCGTTAGATGCAGAGTTCAATCCCTGGGGTCTCCAAGAGGGGCTGAGAGAGTCAGTGTTCAGAGGCATATACATCTGTACCTGTGCCCAGCCAAGCTTGCTATATGATTTCCTCCACCTGGAGGAAAGTCAGGGAAGCCACCTGGGAACAGTCCTATTGATGTCCCAGCTCACTTGACCATTGCACAAGAAGACCAGGGTCTCAAGAACAACAGACATGCCAACCAGAAAATCCCTTCTGATTCTACAAGTCTCTGGGGCCTGGACCATCTCAATAGAGAGGAGTCTCTGCGGAGAGGAACAGCCACTTCCTGTCCAGCTCTCCCCAGGGAATGAAATGTCCATCCAGGACAAAGGGCTTATTTTAATCCACAAGCAGACCCAGCCCAAGACATTCTGGCACCTGAGGCGGACCACAAGTTGGCGTCTCCCCACCAGGGAAGAAGGCGGGAATGAAGATTTCCATTGGGAAGAAGTGGGGGAATCAAATCAACCTCATCTTTGGGTTGAAGTGGGACTCAAAGGCCAATGTTGTAGGGTCTGCCCCCCAAATCCTTGAGAATCAGTGTCTAAATGCCTCTCTGGGAAAGTGGGAGTGATGCAGAACAGAGCAAGGGAATGAAAGGATTTGTTCAGAGGGGAGAGCATTTATGTTGCATGCAAATCCCCACTGGTATCTCCAAGGAGGGCTGGGAGAGACCCCCCACCATGGCCACCTGAAGCTCTGGAAAGCAGCAGCCAGTCAGTGTAGAGTTTGTGTGGCATAGTGGTAAGAGCAGTGTTTCTCAAACTTCAGTCCAGACAACAGCTGGGGACCCAAGTTTGAGACACACTGGATGAGAATGTCGGTCTGGGGCCTGGGATGCCTGGGTTCAAATTCCCATTTGGCGATGAAACTCACTGGGTTACCTTGGGCCAATCACTCACTCTTGGGCCAATCACTCATTCTAAGCCTGACCTCCTTCGCAGGGCTTTTGTGAAGGCAGAATGGGGAGGAGCAGCAGACCCTAGGAAAAGGGACGGGCCGTTTGTCATTCTCTCACCTTAGCCTGGGGGCTGATGCCGTAGCTGGTGAAGGCATACTGCCAATGGGGCAGCCCCAGGTGGGTGATCAGGAGCCGGTAGTAAGCGGTGAAGGTTTTGGTGAGGAAATGCCAGTAGAGAGCTCGGTCCAGAAACCAGATCTCGGAATCCGGGGTGACAACTGGAAGTGAGAAGAGAGACTATTAGGCCGCAGGATGAGAAGAACGGACCACCCCACCTCTCAGGGGGTTTTAATAAGGAACTCTGAGGCCTAGGAATGACGATCTGGGCCTCAGTGCTTTCTACAAAGGATAAAGGCATTTCCAAGGGAAATTCATCCTCTGAGGCGATATACAAATTTTATTATTATTATTATTAAATAATAATAATAATAATAATAATAATAATAATAATAATGGCAAATTATGAAAGCCAGGCATAGCTTGCTTCAGGAAGACTTCATCACAGGCCATCATAGACAACAGACTTTGTCAACCTGGTACCCTCCAGATGTTCTGGACTACAAAGCCCATCAGTCTCAGCCAGCACAACTGTATGGTGCTAGGTACAGTAGTTCAGAATGGAGATATGGGAGATAAGGCAAAAGCTAACTGGGGTTTGCAGATGGGGCTGATTTGTGCAGGCAGCTCCTGGGCTGCTG